GTACCAGTTGCTCCCAATCTGACCTCATTTAATACTTGATCTGGTAATCCTGACACCCTGGGGTCTAGTGAGCCTTGCCACTAATAAGTACTATTAACCCATGAATAGAGTCTTACAGTCATGGTCTCTTTTTACTTTTTTAAAATTGGAAAAAAAAAAAAACAAAAACTGGAGCACCCTAAATGTATGGCAGAAGTTCAGAGGACTTTAACATTGTACAGTTTATATTTTTATTACTGAAAAATGAGTCGTTTGTTGGTGTGGGGGTAAGTTCTACATGTATATATATGGAAACTTTATCTTGTGCTAACAGCAATCACATCTTACGTCCCCAATTAAAATGTGACTTTTCAACTCCAGAAGTTGCCTGCGACAATTTAGCCATCTGTTTAATGAAACAACCACCACTGATTTGGTCATAGATAATTATTACAATAAAAGCAGTGCTGGGGAAAGATCAACTCATCCCAGTTGAGGATGACAGTTAATTACGAAGAGATAATGAGTGAAGGTGGTTCACATTGTCTCATCTCCAGGGTAAGAAGTAGGTAACAAATCTCACTCTAAATATCGATCATGTGGAGTGTTTTGATTATACACATCTTTGAGTCATTATTTTTAAGTCTTATAAGATATATACCAAGTAGTGTATTTACTGGGCTGTGTTCAACCAGAAGGAGAAGTGTCGTTTTTCATAAATTATCTATTGAATTCCATGCATTTGAGATTTTTGGGGTGAAAATATTCTTAGATTATTATATGGAGGCTTTTGTATTCTCTGGCCACCCTTAATTGATGTGAGAGGGAATTTTCAGCACTTGTCTCTGGTGGAATCCATGATGAGAGCCCGTAACACACTCTGCTAATTACCTGCCAGGAAGACCCTAGTGTGGTAATATTAGAATAAGCTCTATGCTATGAAATGTGATGAAGGAAAGGAGAGTTCTGGCAAAGATGGTTCTCAAAACTCACACTAAACAATAGCTTTAAATTCCTCTATGATAACATGACTTTGATAAGGAGCAAAATTGATTAATTTCCTTCTCACTATCTTGGCTTAAGTACTCCTGAACTGTAAAATAGATAAAAGCCAAATTATGGAGGAACAATAAACAAAGGGCTCTCATTTTTAGTACCTTAGAGCCAGGCAAAAGCATAATGGAACCCTCTGTGTAGTGAAGGAGTGTTGGCACTCATTATTGGCTCCTTAATATTAGAACCAAGGGGATTTTTAACAGATTGCCTCACAGGAAAGCAAGAACTCTGCCTGGCTCCTCATTCTCATTTTGGGCATGAGACTCAGCTTTTCTTACGTTTCTTATACAGTCATTTCTTGGCACTCCTGGTTTCTCCAACATGATATTCTTGTGAATTTATATTGCATGCATTTAGAACATGTGACAGAACTGAGCTGAGATACATTTATTTGTGTGCTATTAATGAAGAAAGGTTTTTAAGTGTCAATAGGAAAATATATTAGGAGAATCTCAGTCCCTTTAAGAGGAGAATTTTTGTGAGATCCTAATATATTCTTTGCCTAAAGGCAAAATAGAGTTAGCTGTAAATGGATTCCTCTGTAGGGCGTGTAGTATTTAAGGTCTCTAGTTTTGTTTAAGCTTACCGAGACTTTAGTTGCAAACTGAGAATAATTCTTTACTGGAATTATTCCCAATTTATCTTCAGACTTAGATATAAATCCAGGTGTTTCCACATACATAGCTGTGTGATCTCAGGCAACTTGTATAATCTCTCAGAACTTAAATTTATTTTTCATCTAAAATATGAAATTATAGGTACTTTTCTCAAGGGTTGTTTGGAAATTAGATGATGAATCTAAGCTGCTTGTTTTAATAACCTGGCCATCCCAACATTCAATATGTGCTAGGTATTATTAATATTTATCTAAAAATTAAATTAGGATGGTACTGGTTTTCTACTTAGAGGTACATATTTCATTATGTACTTAAGATTTAGTAAATTCTTTGAAAAATACGTGTCTGTTTCTTCAACTGTAATATAGATTTATTCATTCTGCCTTTCTTTCCAATGAGCATGTATTCATTGTAATACATACATGGAAAGGGTTAGCGTTGGTCTGCTTATTGTTTAGTTGAGTGCCACAAGCTGTGTATGTAAGGATTTTTTTTCCTATAGTATTTTATATTAATGACAAATTATGTAAAAGCACTAAATATGAAACAGAATTTAGAGAGTAGAAGGGTTGAGAATTGGAAGACATAAACCCTGGGTTCTATGTCTAGTCAGTTTGTCCTTTGGTAAATCACTTACCTTCTCTGGGTTTCAGTTTCTTTAAACTTTAGTGGAGAAACTTATATTGAATGATTTGTGTGGCTGTTTATAGTTACCAAGTTATAATTCTACCATAAATTCAGAACAACTCTATTTTCAGAATTATACTATTTAACTACTGGCAATGGTCTGTCACATATCTTTGCTTCTACTTATTTTTTCCATTTAATAGGAAAGGGGACGTGATTGCTTTATCTTGAAGTTGATTTTTTTTTCCAAAATATTGAAATATTAGGTTATCCAGTGACCTTAAAAGTGATCTAGCCCCACTCAGCCAGTATATTATTCTAGTTTCTTAGAAGACCAATTTCCTATATCTGGAAAAGGCACAACTCTCCCCGTCATTTTCTTTGAAAAGGAAGTCATATAAGTTATCATGCCTCACAACTTTTACTGTTCTAGTGAAAGTTGTTTCCCATTTTGTTTTTTAAAAAATTTTAGAAAATTTGAAAGAAAATGCTAATTTTAATTACAAGGATATTTTACCTTTTGTTCTCCGGTTCAACATACTGTTATGACACATTTAAGAAGGTGTGTGTTTATTACTTTAGTTAAATCAGCTTAATAAATTTCCATAGCTTTATATATTCCTAATTTTGAATGAAGATATCTGATGGAGAAAAATAAAGATAATGAAGAGCAGAAATACGTCTTTCTGACTTTCATGTGACAATCAGTAACTGGATCAAGAAAAGAGAGGTTTCTGATGTTTTATTTAGATTTTGTTAATTCAGTCCCTAGAACCAGATGAAAGGTCTAATAACATAGTTTATAATAATGTGAATTATCACTTCTATTTGAATAATGTTAGCTACAATCAAATAATTTTTCTTTTTTCATAATAGAAAGTTCTTACTCTTATTCTTTCTATAACACCTTTGTCTCCAAACATAATTCACTTGAGAAAAACAACACTGTCTGCCTAATTCCCATGTGGTTTATTATCATTATGAGCCTAGCTATGGCCAAAGCTTTACCTTTTAATGAGACGCTGATTTCGTGGCTTAATATATTTTTGGTTCTGAGCAAGAATATCTTATCCATACTCAGGGAAGTACAGAAGGAAATGAAGAAGCCATATGAATTTTGAAACTGTATTTACATCTTTATAGCAATTTATTTTTTTTAAATTTTTAATTATTTATCAGATTTGATCCTCCTCTCTGTTCCCAGCACACACATCTGGCTATTTCCTTGTCAAAATGCTGCTGCTGCATTTACGTGCCCCTTCAGGGGCCTCTCTCTTTTCTTTCTGTTGCAAAAATAGCATTTCCAGTATCTTAATGCTTTATTGTCAAGGTTGTCTAGACATCAGCCCAGGTGTCTCATGGGGTTAGCAGTGGAGACAGTACCCTATACTTTTCCTACCTTTTGTCTTCAGCGGTTACTTTGGAAGTGCAAGCATGAGGAGGTCAGCTGAGGCAGCTACAGAAATTGCTTCCTAGTTCAAGCAAGGTCAGAGCCTGGTCTCTTTATATACTATACAAATTCCACCGAGGAGTGTCTGTGAAAGCTCTCTCCGAAGTTAGCTGTTTTTCAGTATTGAGATATAAACCCTATGGTTCAACTTGCTAAAGCACATTTTACAGGCTAGAGTTAGCAAAAATGAATCAAATGCCATAAAGGTGCTCCTGTTCACTTAAAAAAATTAGAAGAAGGTCTCTATTAGGTTAGAGGCTTCTAATAAATGGCATCCATACATATGTGGGGTTGAGGCTTTGAAAACTCTATAAGGTGGCATGTCACTATATAGGCTAGCTTCCCAAAGAACATTTTTTATTTTGTAATTTCATATTTTGCTATCTTATCTGGCTTAATTGTCATGTTATTTCTTATCTATCATTTGCTTATCTTCATTAAAAAACTGTTCAATATCATTAAGCATTTCATCTTTCAGTTAGATGATTTTGCATGTAATTATGGGAAAAGAAAATGGAAAACTTTTCTGATTATCACAAATGATATGGAGAGTTGCAAACAATTTGAAGTTAATTATGAGCTTAGTTGGGGGGTTAATTAATTTCTATGTGCGCTACATAGAAAATGGATTTCCACCATGTATCTATTAAGTTAATAACATTAACTCCTGTTTTATAAGTAAAACATGTAGGTACACATACAGCCCACATCAAAATATCATACTTTTATTATATTGAAATTGTTCCAGGACTGACTTTTTAGTTTGTATCTAAACTAAAGTATTTTTAGAGGATTTTAATCATACCAACTGGGTCCCAACTTTGACTGTAAATATTCACACTTCATGTTAAAATTGTTTGACATGGTCTGAGTGTCTGTCAGTTTTTCCAACTGTGTTTCAGCCTTGTCACTTGATTTTGTTTTGTTGTGCATTGTCATGTGTTACAAAAGAATTAAAGCACTTCTTTTATTTGCAAAACCCAGCCAGCATTTTGTCACTGCCTAGTCAAACTCCAGCTTAATGGCCCAGACTGTGACAGTGGAGCTGTGGGAATGAGTGATGGATCTGTGTAGCAGCTCTAGCTTTAACCTCTAACTAGCTTTCATTTCTCACCTTTGCAATTTCCATTTGCTCCTTTTATTGAAATAAGTTCAGTTGAAATAAATGGATACTCCTGCACATCCTGTGAGCTCTTCTGAGAGTAGCATTGGTCTGTTAATAATTTTTCATGTTTCCCTCTCTCTCTCTCTTTCTCTCTTTTTTTTTTTAGTCTCGACCTATTCCTTCCCACCTTACTTCAGCAGTTGCAGAGAGTATCTTGGCCTCCGCCTGTGAGAGTGAGAGCAGAAATGCTGCCAAGAGGATGCGTCTGGATAGACAACAGGTACTGAGGAGCCTTGGGGACTGGCATTTACCCATGACCGCAAACAAAGACGGTTCATGGAGCCCGATTTATGTAGAAGGGTAAAGACTCTTGAATGGATTTTGAAGTACACCAAGATACAGTTTTTGTGTCTTTATGATAGAAATTTGAACTTGAAAATGAATGTTCCTGAGATGAATAGGCATCTGTCAAATTTTCTGTGATGAAAAATGGCCAACTGTAAAGTTAACAAGTCGGAATTCTGCTTAGTATCCAATCGGCGGGCCAATTACTTATTTAAGTAAATGGTTCTAACGGATCGTTGACAATAGTTTTGTAAACTTACCTGATTGTTTATGATACGGACGTGATCGTGTTCATTCTGAATGAAAGCAAACCTCTCTTTCATCACCTCTTGCCTACTGCTAAATACCAGTGGATTGTTCTGGGAATGGTAAAAAAGCACAGATTTTAGAAGCCTAGAAATCTATAAAATGGCTTCCTCATTAATGAACTATTTACTATATACCCATTAAGTATCATCTTTCTCTGTCTCTTTTCTAAGGATGTACGCCCATGTGGTGTGGACATGTGCATTTTTTGTGTCTTACGGGCTTATGTTTCCCTTGGTTTATCTGTGCCTGTCTGTGGCCCCTTCTCAGGTCTGGAATGTCTTTCTCTGTTTTCTTTATCTCGCTGACCTTCTTAATTATCCATAATTAATTACTAAATTTTAATACATAACATTAACTGTTACACATATAAGTATGCTGTGTTCTGACTTTGAAGTTACTTTTACAAGTGATCTGGTGCTTCATATCTTTTAAAGTTTAGAATGAGAAGACTAAATTGTTAGTCTAATTTTGTTTTTCCTGTGAGCCAATGAGCTTCAAAGAAAAACAGAAAAAAAGTTTTTCTGTTCCAGGACTAAGATATGTAGAAATGTTTCAGAATGGTATTATTTAAAAGTTTTATGTGTTTATTATGAATATGGCATGTGCTAATAATTCTAGACAGTGCAAAAGATGAAGGCTTTAATTTTTTCAGATGTAGTACTCACCTCAGATAAAATGTATATTTTGAGTTTGTTAATCATTCTTGGCCAACAGTATTTATTGACATACACATGCCCTCAGTGAGACTTTTATCATTATTGTACGTCTAGAATGTATCTTGCTTGAAACAAGTCAGACCTCTCTATACAAGACCACGTAGCAGAGTGATTAAGATGGCACATTCTGGAGTTAAAGACATCTGGTTTTGAGTCTCAGCGCTACCCTTACTAGTCGTGTGCCCTTCAGAAAGCTGTTACATTCTCTGTGCCTTGGTTTCTTCATGAGCAAGCCAACACTTAACAGTTCTCATCCTATAGGGTTGTTGTGAGAATGACAGATTTATGTTAATTACTTAGCCAGGCATAGAGTCAGCATCAATAATTTCAGCCTAGAAAAGAAGATTCTAACTGATATTCTTTGTCAGTGCCTTGGCATCAGTAAAACTAGAAAGAAGCACTAATAGGAATATCTTAGATATAGGAGCTTTGAAGTCAGACTAAGTATATTTGAGAAAAGATCATAATTCTAGAAACTGGAATGGTAGAATTCTGGGGCTGAAGGGGTTCTTCTTGGTGTTGTCTTGCCCTATATTCCACCTAGTCTATACTCTAGAATGCTTTCAGTCATATAAACAGTTATTATGAAAATTAAAGGACTGATTCACATTATTTTACTACCTATGATATCACTCTACAGTATCCCCCAAAGCTGGGTATCCACCAATATTTGGTTTAATTTTTTTTTCCAAAATTTTTTTTTTTTTTACTTAAACCACTATTGGTGTAATCTATAAAATGGAAGTTAAAATTTTAAATTCATAGAATTATTTGATGATTTAATAAGACAAGGCATATGAAAACATAGTTTATTTGATTAACTTATGTATTGCCAGAGCTCTTCTATAATCACCATTTGCTTGAATCCCTAAAGTTGTAGGAAAATCCCACCTCTAGAGCTGGAGATCTACCATTTACTAACACATGTAGTCTGTTATCAGAGAGGTGTAATCATTTTGACAATCCTTAAAGTGAGATCAAATTTGCTTCCTAGAGCTTCCACCCATTGAAGAAAAACTGCTAGGAATCATGAGGAGAGTGACTTCTTATTACCCAGGGAGTAGGGACTGGAAAGGGTGGGGACCAACTACCTGTTTCCCCTTTTCTGTCCTCCTGCATAGTGGTCATTTATGGCAAGGCTCCCATCACATGAGAATGGGGGATGTCCAATATCTCCTCCAGGTAAGAATGTTCTTTCCAGGCCTTAAAAGTGAGTTCAGTGAGTTTGGGATTTATGGGAGATATGGAAAAAATGATTTAAAAAATACATTCTATGATTTATTGGAAATCTAATAGGCCCTTTGTAGACTTTTTTTTTTTTCCATGTAGTAATTTCAACAACCCCATGAGAAGCAGGTATTCTTATTCTCATGTACCTATAACGAACTTGAGGTTCAGAGAAGGGGGATTATTTGTACAGGATCACCCAGCTGCGTGAGCAAATCAGACTATAAGTTTAAATTATGTGAGGCTGACACTTGAGATCTCTATATAACCCTATAACTTTTACTGAGGGAAAACCCGTGTCCTGGAAGAAACTCTTAGAACACGTTATCATTTGTGCCTCTGCACACAATGTTTTTGACAAGGCACTTCTGTCAGAAAACAATCTGTTTTTATCACAAAGATATGTGCATTCTTTCATAACTGGCAAACCAGCCTTCCCCAGTAAGCAAGTTATCCCAAGCAGGACATTTTTGTCTCAATATCAGCTTGAAAAACTGCCTCACTTCATCTGGGAAATGAGTTATGCACTGCCAACGCTGGTTTAGTGTTTATTTAGTATTTTAAAATAAATAATATATATTACACATAGATATACACATTCACATAGACATAAAAATCTCTAAGTTATTTCTGTCTAACATGAATTCTGTCGATGTCATTTGGCAAAGGCTTCTACCACATGATTTTGTACTTCCAACCCAAATGCAGATGGGAGAGCCCTCTCCCAATTAGATCTAAATGCTCTTCACCCAAGTAGGGATAGCAAGGACTCTCTCGGGTGTTGGCAATGAGATCATTCTTTACCGCGCCCAGCGCCCATTCTTAACCCAACTCACAGTTTGTAGAATCTGCTGGTGACTCAGAGATTCTTCATCAGGCCCCTGCTGTTCTGCAGGTGCATGAAAGTTAAAGAACTGGGCAGTTAAATCTGGATTCTGTTAAGCCCCATGTCTGAGTGCTTGCTGCCCATGGTTGGCCACATGTAGAGCGATAATTATGTATGTCCTTCAGACTTTATGAAGCTTGATGAATTAATTGGATTTTATAAAGCTGTTTGAGCTTAGGAACATGAAAGGTATTATGGATGTGTTAAATACTTTATTTCAGGTGCCCACCTTGCACCACAGTCCAGACGAGCCTTGTTATTATGCAGCCCAAGCCCTAGAGCAAGCCGGGGGCAAGGACAGGAGCCTCCTGTTTGATCAGGAATCAGAATTCACAGAACTGAGGTCAACCATCCGTGCGTTATCAAACACAGCCAGTGTTTCTTTTCTTTTTAACATGAAAATCTGGAATTTTTATGTTCAGGAAATTCTTCCTCACTCTGACAATTAAAAAAAGCAGGCGGGGGCAAAGTCAGACTTCACTTCCCTATGACATAGCTTGAATCAAAAGATTATCTTTTTCTCTATCTTTATTTCATTCCTCTTTCCTTAAAAAGATTCTTCAGTGCTTTTGTTTACAATTAATCTAAATGAAGAGACAAAAGCAGAAAGTGAGAGATGAGAACCAGCTTCTTGCTGGTGATTGTTTTCCCATTAGTATGTATTTTTGCTGTTTTTTTCCAGGATGACCCGTCTTTTATTCCTGGCCTGCTGACTGATAAACTTAGGGAGTTTCTTACTGATGTGAGTTTCTTTGGTTTCTTTTCTCTCTCCCAGTTCTTTGAGTTAAATTGGTTTGTGGTGCTGGAGTGGGGAATCACATAGAGCCAAGGGGTCAACGGCTTCCCCTGTATCAGTGGGACAGATAGAGCCCTTGTGAAGGACCAGTGCAAGATGATGGTTTTTGTGGTGACTGGGACAGTTGGGAGTTCGATGGTAGGTGGTGATGTGACCTCTTTGACTCTATCGAAAAGAACACCGAGAAGGGGGAACAAGAAATGGCTTATTAGTTCCTTGTGACATAATAAAGGGTGAGAAATCAAGGGAAAAAATACTGAAAACTGGTGTATTGCAGAGTTAAAGAAAATTGTTGCTAGGAAACTAGCATGAAACCCCCAGCTAGGACCAAAAAATATTCAGGAAGCCCAGAGTTCCCAGTACTGTTTTCATTAACAGTGGGGCATGTCCTGCAACCTGCATCTCTTCCAATGTCCTGTTAGGGTACTAATGAGTGGGCATATTATTCAATGTAAATGCAGATACGAAGGTTGAGAATAGAGCCATGTAAGCATGGTGGCAGTTTTCATACAGACTTTGTAATTTGTCAAGGACATTTTTGAAAACTAGCGAAAACACTCTGGTCAAGTCACAGCTTTCAAGACAGGTGGCTTTTCTATCCTATTTCATTCAGTACAGTCCTATGTCCTTTTGATACCTCCTAAAAGCTTTAACAGCTGCACAACTGAAAGCAACATTTTTCAGTTGGATTTTATGCTGAAATTGAAAAGCTGTGCTACTAACTGACATGTGGCTTGAAACCTCTTTCTGTGCCCTTCCAGCCCACACCCCCAGGCTCCCATTCTCAATCATCCTCAACTCTGTTCCATTCCCAGAATTTTTCTTTCTTTTATGCAATATTTTAGGGAAAACCTGACATCTTTGGATCTTTCAGTCTATGTCTCAGCATGGCCCTTTCATCCAAAGGAGAAAATATGCTATATAAGAACAACAAAGTAGGAGAGAGGGTAGTTCTTGGATGACATCTTATTTCCGTTGTAACGTGTAATTTAAAACTACTT